AAAAATATATATATATATATATATATATATAATCGTGAAACATCGTACTCGTGCTACTCGCCTACGATGGTACTACATTAGTACAGAATATCAAGGAAGAGCAAGCAAAATCTTCCTCTTGCTTCGTTCGGCTTCGCCAGATCTATCGGCGTATCTTTCTAATTGATCTTCTTTCAATAGCTAAATCCCTTTTCGATGAAATGTGGAGTCGAGAACAAACTAACCGAATAGAAGAAAACGCAAATTCCTCTTTCGAATCGGTTGAAGAACCATATCTATGAACTAATTCCTTCAATACCTTGCCGGCCTCTTCTTCGTTTGGCTCCAAATAAAAAACTGCGCATCTTATAGTAAGAATAATTCCGGAAATCTGACAGAAATAAGAAGAAAAAAAATGTTTTTATACGCACTGCGAAATTCATGCAAATTATAGTTTACAACGGAAAGTAATTCGAGACAACAAAAAATTGGAATGGTATTTTTTTTATTTTACCTTGGCAGCCAGCACTAACGGAACCATGTTCAAAATTAGGCCGAGGCTGTGCTCCAATAAATTCTTTAATTTGTTACATCTCGACAGGATGGCGTCTCCGGTAAGCGACTGAATTTTTTTTAAGGAAAAATAATATTTTTACTTAGCCTCATTTTTTTTATTATTTATTATTGAAACTGATAAATGTAGTGCAGGTACGTACCAAATAGAGTACACTCGATTCACAGCAATGCTGAAGCAGAGACATGGCTTTATCAACACCGTTGTTTAACGAGCAAAGTGCTTCCATACCCGAAGCACGAGGACGAGCTTCTTCGATTTCTGGAATAATTTCCGATACTCTAACGACCAAATTAAGTAATTCCGAACACATTCTAACATGCACCTGCAATATTCATTAGTAAGAGAATTAAGATATGTTCGGTTTTTTCTTATTTGATCAAAGAAAACATAAACGAATTATTGGAGAAACTGGAATTAATATAACCTTAATAGTCGAAGGTGATGGTAGTCCTTCGACAACTCCACGACGGTTATTTACCATCAGATAACAATCGATTTACACTCGAAAGACTCGATCGGCTGCCGATTGAAAGAACATTAAAGTGGCCTTAAGCACAAGTCAGCAGAAAAATTCAGTTAATTCACTTTTAATTGCAAATTCGAAGTTCGGAGATCATAATTATTTAATATTTTTTTTACTTCATTTCTTAGTTTGTTTTGTCCAAAAGAAGTAAAAAAATAAAGACCGAAAACCGGGTCAAACATAGGCATAGTTTCTTGTCGAAAAAACCCTTCAAATCATTTCATTCACTGCCAACAGTTTTCATCTCCACAGATACAACCAGGAGCGAGTCCACCCTTAACTGATAATTTTTCCCCTATATTATATCTATATATCTATTTAGCCCACTCAAGTTTTAGGGTAAATTACAAAAACCTCCCTGAACTGAAGCTGAAAAACAAAAAACACCCCAACCTGTTCGTAATTACCAAAAACTCCCTGAGATTTGTTTCCGTCTTACACCAACCCCAAATGGTGTGATTTTTCATGGTTTTTTTTATTCCAGATAATAGATTTTACACAATTTTAGATATTTTCTTTTATTTCTCACCTATTTAACAGAAGGTATAAAAGATTGAACACAAAAAACTTGATCAACAATTAATCAGAGGGAGATTTTGGTTATTACGGACAGGTGGGGCGTTTTTTCGTTATTTAGCCTAAGTTCACGGGGTTTTTCGTAATTTATCCCAAGTTTTATTACTTAGCTCACCCAAAATCCAAATTAGTAAAAAAAAAAACCTTATTTTTTATTAATTAGCCAACCCAAAATTCAGATCAATGCAAAAAAAACTCTAATTTTTGTTTTTCTTTCCCTATTTTCTGATTTGTCACAAGAAAATCCTAAAAAATATTTGGGCAAATATTAAAAAAAAAATGATAAATGATTTAAATGATAATTAATCAGAAGAATCGAAATTCAAGCAAATAGAAGGAATCGAAGATTCGTCTTACCTCGTACTGAATAGAAAAGCTGTCTGTTAATCAAGAAACAAGACTACTTCCGCCATTGATCTTCTGTCTGTCGACTGAGCTTCCACACAAAATTCAGTTTCTTTATTATTTGTCACAAAATTAATAACAACCCTAAATCCCACAAGAAAAGATCAACCACAACCCATGAATCAATTTAAACATTATCAAAAAGAAAAAAAATTGAAAATTAAGATCTCATGTTTAACCACCGCATTAGAAATGCAATGAATGAAGAGAGAGGAGTGAGAAGCAGAAGGGGATGTTTGTTTTTATTTCCAAAACCCATTTCCTGTTTTATACTATTCATAAAACTGAGATCATGTTTGTTTCATAATTTCATCAGAAAATCCCATTTTTTCTTATCAAATTTCTATTGAAAATACACTATTCATATTTTTTCAATTTTCAAACCTACTAACTAACCTATATATTTTATTCCACCAACTCATTTCTCTCTCCTTCTATACATCACTCCTCATTAATATTTACACTATCTCTCCTCTCATTTCTCTCTCCTCATTAATATCTACACTCTCTCTCCTCTCAATTTCTCTTTCTTCTAATAATAATAATAATAATAATAACAACAGCCCGCATAGGTGTAGCTCAACTGGTTCCGGAGGTGGTAAGTTGGTGCAAGGTCCTAGAATCGAATCCTGGCAGCCGCAGTGTGGGAATTCTAGAAAATTCACTACAATCAAACATATTCTTATTTCTACACCTACATAAAACTAAAACTACACATTCATCCAAACATATTCTCATTTTCTACACAAAAACCAATAATCTACTTTTTTCATCAAAAAATTTGAAAATTAAAAATTCCAATTGGAAACATAACCAAACATCCGAGAGCAGTTTTCCAAGGGTATTTTGGTGAATACAGCCGGCTTGCTTTTTCACAGAATCTTTTATAAGATTTAGAAGTAGATTCCATTTCTTTTTTCTTTTTTAAGTTAAAGCTCTTTGACAATAACAAATTAAAGAGGCAAATTTGTCGTTACATTCCCAATGATCAGATTAAAATATATTTTTTTTATTGAAAATAAATTGGAATTCAGAACAATTTAAACTATTGTCAATTGTCAAGGAGATTTGTAGGTGAATTGCATTTTGCACCCTTAAATTTTGGAATTGGCAAATTGCACCATCAATTGTATATTTCATGGCAAAATGCACTCATACAACTGTTTCTTTGTGAGATTTTAGCGAAAAGATAAATATATCATGATACTTTAATATTTAAAATTTTCATATATTTAGAAAAAAAAGTTGAGACTTTAATTTAGCACAAACAAAAAATTCTTTGTATGAATAATGTTAGAATAACATAAAATGTGAAATTAAAATGTAACTGGTAATTAATTAATTATTCAGGTTTAAAAAATTAGAATAAACCACGTAAATTATGTGACATAAATACTAATGTTAATAATGTGCATGTTATTTGGAGCATAAATTACAGCTTATTGAATTATTTTAGAAAATTAGCATTTTATAAAAAAAATTATGAAGTTCATATATAAATTCGATTTTGACACGAAAAACTAACAGAAATAAATAATTATTTATTCCTTTGTGTTTCATTTATAATATAATGAAATGATAATTTAAAAACATAAAGTCAAAAAAAACAAAAAAAAAAAAAAACCAAGAAAGAAAATGTTTAAATGCTAAAAGAGAGGTGTAGGGTGTATTTTGCCGTTAGATATGCAATTTGAGGGTGTAATTTGCCAATTTCAAAATTGAAGGGCAAAAAGTGTCAATCCATATTATTCAGGGTGCAAAGCGCAATTCACACCAGAATTAACACAAAATATAGATTCAACTACAAACAGTAGTAATGAGTCTTTATATTAAAATAAGATGGAGAAAATGAAATTATGTAAGAGTCTGTGTGTCTTTTTGTCATTGTAGTGGAGACTACTTGGTCAGAAATAGCTTTCAAAATTATTGATACATCACTCCACAGTCAAAGTCCACGACATTTCTTGGTCAATTTTAACCTTTAATACAACAAAAAGCTTAAAGTCTGATTGGTTAACTGATTTTAGGAGCTGTAAGAAAATAAAATAAAAACTGATTTTAGGAAAAATTACAGTTTTCGCCCCTCAAGTTTGCATTAATTCCACATTTGACCGTATATGGTCTCAAAAAGTACATTTTGTCCCTCATGTTTCAATAATTTAATATTTTTTTGACATTTGCATCAATTTACCGTTAGTCTGTCGGTTAAGATAGTAAAGGGCACATGCTTGATTCCATTAGGTACTAGAGAAAAATTGACGAAAATGACAGTTGACGAAAATGACATATCAAAAGAATTGAATTTTTTAAACATGAGAGACTAAATATATTCTATTTTGTGAACAATACCGACAAAATGTGAAATCCGGATAAATTTGCGACGAAAATGTATTTTTCCCTTTATTTGATTTTTATGTTCGAGGGCGAAATCAAATTTGCTCTATGCTCGTTCGGGTTGAAGTGGACATATATATATTGGTTCGAACTCGTCGCATCACGAGTCGGGCCGTCAGGTCACTGTTCAATTAGGACATAGGCCCGGCTCGTCTAGAAGACGCTCCACGAGTTCAAAACCGCTATTTTTGTTTTGATTTTTTCATTTAAATTGTTCAAATTCAATGTTAAGATCTATTTGATTTTTTTTTTTTTATTTAAAGCCAAATTGATTATGTGATAAGGAATCAAAATACACGTAGTTCTCTTACCTTTACTTACATTTTTAGTTCGTTGTTGTCGATATGTTTATTATACCTTTTGATTACATGTGTAAAAAGCGAAGGAAAATGAAAGTTTAGAATCTTAGAAATAACAAAATATGTTTTGTTTCTAAGAAAAATACTAATGAAAATCCCCATGAGAGGAAGATGTTCGACCGCGACATCCGACATCAAACATCCGATTTTCCTCTCGCTTTTCCTCATTTTTTGTAGGAAACAGTTTTTCCGTTTGCCGTAGACAATTTCTCTCCCATTTTTTCCTCAACGTTATTTTTCATGAACCAAAAAAGAGCACTAACAAAGAATCTCAAATCGAGTATCGAATAGTTTCGTCTGATTTTCAACTTAGAGATGGCCTCGGTCATTACCAACATGTGAAGCACTATTCCTTAATAGGTCAACTTCGTGTTTTATGTGTACTTTTATTCAGAAAAAGAAAATGAAACAAATAATATAGAATAAGAATGAAAGAATGAACATCGACCTTAATTAATCATAAAAATAAATACGAAAACAATGCCTGCCGAATCATTCATTACATTCTTCCCTAACTTCCTTCGATTTTTTCCCTTCAGCGCTTTACAACAAAATCCAAATACCAATATGAATATTTTTCTTCTTTCAATTGCACCAACATTTCTATTTTTCATCCTCACTTACATAGACCGTAGTACTAATATTCCAACAGACTTCACAGCCTACAGAAATGCAACTGCAATTACTGCTATACTTTCTATAATCTCTCTGCTAACTATCGTTCCTCGTAAGTTGGATCAAATTTTCGAAGCTGGCAATGGCAATACTCACAAGGACGAAAACAAGTCGTCGGTGAATAAGCAGCCATCGCGACTTGGGCTGTGGGACGCATTTTCGTACAAATTTTGTCCATCCAAGAAGAATGCATCCTTATTATCAGGTCACAAAAAAACATTGATTTCCTATATATATCATTCATGATATAATTTCTATTGGGAAATTACAGTTTCATCCCTCAAGTTTGCACCGATTTCACATTTGGTCCCTCACTTTTGAATAATTTAACATTTTTGGCCATTTTTATCCATTTACTGTTAGGCCGTCAGTTAAAGCAGTGATGTGCACATGCTTGATTCCGTTAGTGCTAAGGGAAAATTGAAAAAAAAATGTTGATTTTTTGAAACACGAGGGACCCAAATGTAATTTTGTGAACAGTCCGATGTGAAATCGGTGCAAACTGAGGGGTACAAAATATATTTTTTTCCAATTTTTATTATTTTCTCTCATCAAATTAAGTGTTCCGATGAAAAAGTGCAGAAATTCGGGAAGAATATTGTGCAACAAATGTAAAAGTAACCGAGTTTGATTGGGATACGATTGTCGCTGGCACAGATAAATTCTCCGATTCAAATGTCATTGGACGAGGTGAATCGGGCACCACCACCATTTATAAGGTCATCGTTTTCGTTTTTGCCTAATTGTTCACTCTAGCTAGCCACACACAGGATTCTATAGTAGTTGAAATAAATACAGTTTTTATCAGCATACTATACTAATTTAATATCCATCTTTATACATTTGAGATCACACACTTTTTAGGGTTTATTGCAATTAGTCCCTATATTATATTGAATTGCTAAAAAGTATCCCATATTATTTTTATTGCCAAAAACCCCCCTGTGATTCATTTTTTTAGCACACAACCCCTAAACAGGGGTATTAATTGATAGAAAAAGTTAAATCGTAAGGGGGTTTTGCAAATAAAATAATATGAGATAATTTTTTAATAATTCAATATAACGCAAGGGTACCAATTGCAATAAACTCCAAAAATTTTGTATCACTAACGATGTCGATTTTTATCTCTCTCTATATATAGGCTGTGTTCCCTCCTAGTGAAGAATTTGTTGCAGTTAAAAGGTTTTCACCATCTTCGGGACTAGTCGGGCTCGATAAATTCTTGAATGAACTACTTTTGCTTCCCAAGCTTGAGCACCCAAACATCATTAAATTGCTTGGTTATTGCATTCACAAACAAGAAAAGTTGCTTGTGTATGAGTTGATGCCGGTCACAAGCACTCTAGATTCTTTGGTATACGGTTCGTGCTTCACCAACTCCGGTTTCATTATAATAATCTTGATTAACATTTGATAATGAACTATATATATATAATTCTTTTTCCAGGCATATGTAAAGATCGGTTGACGTTGTACCTACGTTTATGGTCGCTACGATTCAAAATCATAATGGGGACTGCTCAAGGACTTTTTTATCTTCATGAAGATTCGGGACTGAGAGTGGTACACGGAGATCTCAAATTAAGCAATATTTTGCTCGACGTAAAGATGAACGCTAAAATCTCTGGATTTGCGTTGGCTAGGTCTAGGACGACCTAGTAAGTGTTGCGTTATGTGTTGTCTCGCTCCATGTATATATTTCCTCCTTCGAATTAACTAATAATTTCGGTTATTTGTGTGCACGCACGCAGTGGCAATATGAGTACTTCAGAATCCTATGTGCAGATGAAATCAGATGTATACAGATTTGGAGTCATAGTCCTGGCGATGGTGAGTGGCAGGAGACTAACAACGGATTTGGATATTACGTCCCTTGTTGACAATGTAAGTGTAGTAAATTTCTTGTCTGCGAATTTAACAAACAAGCTAATTTTTTTGTCAAATAAGATTAATTCAATCAAGATAAATAGGGTGGCTCACAATCTCTAATTTAATTTTCTTATTCTTCTCTCAAGAACAAATATATAGTTTGATGACTTTGAAAATTCAGAGTCTGATCGTTGACTTGTTCTTCTACTAATTTGATCTTCAATAATGTTATTTCAAGGATCCTGCGACTTATATGTTGAATCAAATGCTATGATTTGACCAAATTTGAGCTCTTTGATCTCGACTTTTTTGATGGATTTGATCCTTTAATCTTCGATAATAAAGGACTAAATCTCTAAGTAGACCAACATAGATGACTGATATTACAATTTTGCCAATGTATATGAATGTATGATTGATGAGACTAATGTATAGATGTTTTCCAGACATGGGAGTTGTGGTATAAAGGGTTAGAATTAGCGGTCGTGGACAAATCCATTATCGGAACACGTGGTGTGGATAACGAGGAGCGGAGATGCATTCGAGTTGGTCTCTTATGCACCCTAAAGAATCTAGATGACAGACCAGCCATGAGTTTGGTGCTCAAAATTTTGGAAGAGGAAGTAGTGTCTCTTCAAACAAATGACGATGACCTAGCAAGCAGCAGTTCCGATAACGAAAATGATACTGAGGGTAATACAGTTACACTTGAACTTGACGATGACGTCGCAATATTGTAAACATAGTCAATGTAATATATCCGCGAATTGAATAGCCTTAAGTCGTTCTACTTGCAAACACTCAAAAGCAAAAGCAAAAGCAATCAGGTATTGCAAACACTCAAAAACTAATGTTGAAAAAGAAAGCTCATAATCACTTTGGAAAAACATTTGCAAACACAACGTAAAGTTTATTTTGCAAATACTACAACTTCTCTATTGGGTGCTTTAAGTTGATTTTTTTTTTAAAAAAATTGCAAACACCCCTACTTTTAGAAATAATCACTTATTAAAAACGTTTGCAAACACCACCTTAATTTCTCTTTTGGGTAAACAAAATTGGAAAATTACAGTAGACATCCCTCAAGTTTGCACCAATTTCACATTTGATCCCCGTGTTCACCAAAAATACATTTGGTCCCTCATGTTATAATAATTTAACATTTTTGGTCATTTTAGTCAATTTACCGTTAATTCGTCAGTTAAGACAATGATGGCACAAACTTGATTCAGTTAGTACTAACGAAAAGTTGACGAAGATGACTAAAAATATTGAACTTTTGAAATATGAGGGACCAAATGTGTTTTTTATGAACATTGAGGACCAAATATGTAATCAGTCCAAACTTAAGGGATGAAAACTGTAGGTTTCCCCTGCATTACAGTTTTGCATATCGGCAGGCTTCAAATTTGAGGATGGCTTCAGTTTCATCCACCGGAAAACGGCTTCTCGCACTTAGTTTGCCAGCACTTCGTTTTCAAGTAAGTTCTCTATTCTATTTCTCTTCAGTTTCTCTGCAATCGGTTCGGGAAAGCATGTGCCTGGAAGGTGTTCGATGAAAAGCCTGTTAGGGGTTTCCACCACATTTTTACCTCCTTGAATGAACAATTCATCAAGTCTTGGAGTATAGTTGGGTAGTTTTAAGATTAAACAATGTCAAAATACATGTATGGCTATAATTTTACTTCTGCTTGGATATGATCTTGCTTGAATTGTACGAGATGAAAGTCTCAGTTTTCATAGCGAGATCAAACTTAAATTATACTAACCTTTTGCATATATTCAATACTTTATGCTTGAGTTTATATTAATTGAAGCCGAAAAGCATGTGCTTGCAAGGTCTTTTGTCAAAAGCCTTTTAGTGGTTTCTACGCTGATACTATATCTTATTTTATTTTTAATTGGCATAATTAATCTGTCTTGGAGTTCTTTATTGTCAGCGGGTGAAATTCATCGATTATAGGTTTCACCATACATGTGTACTGTTAACTACCCATTTTAATAATTTACTATTCGGTTTATTTGACGTGGTTCGACATGGAGAAGACTATTGTTAGCTTAGAGAAACACTCGAGGAATTCGTTGGGTAGTTTGACAACTGAGCAATTTCTAATACATATCACACTATTATACGGCATAAAAGCAAAAATGATCATGAAGAATGTAACTGATCCTGATGAGAATGTCGATTTTGTTTCCTATAGAGTTCGAACAAAAAGATTGCCAGGAATAAGACTTTTCCAGTTAAGAATATTAGATTAATCGTTAAGATCAAACGAAGAACTAACGTAAATGCGAAGCTACATAATATAGCTACAACTTGAAGAATGTATAATTTCATTGACTTTAGTTCTTCTAAACAAATTATTTAATCATTGATATGATAGCAATAATTATTCTGTGAAGTAGTTTGAAATATTTTAGATCAAATATTTCTTTATTCCAAAATTATCTTGTAATATTTAATTTTAGTCAATTAAGTTATATTATATATTGTTACTGATGTGTTAAAAGAAATAATAGGACAAGAAAGAAGAAGAAACAAATAATATTCGATGAATCAACTACTTCATCTAAACTAAATAGTAATGCAAGGCTAGTCAACTATATTTGATTCTCTGCACTGGGGAAATCCTCGCATATCATCCATCTTTCTTTTACCCCTTTGGTTTACAACACTTACCAATATCCAGCCATGAATTTCTGCCCAGTCCCATTTGCTTCGGTATTAATTATCTGCTTCTTGATCATGTTCGCATCTTCTTGTAGTAACGATCCAATAATTACTCACTTCACAGGCGATGTTTCTATTAATTGCGGCTCATTCGGGTCCACTAAAGCACCGAATGGAAGGGAATGGATCGGAGATGTAACGCCGAAATATTCTTCTCTACTGCAAATAAAAGGTTTATCATCAACAACCGCAGCTGATCATAAGTTGACTGTCTTTGTTGATCCAGTTCCACATAAGACCGCACGACTCTCTCGTACACAATTCTCCTATGCACTTCGACTCAGTCCAGGTCAGAAAATTCTTCGTCTTCACTTTAGTCCCGCTCTGTGCAAAGGCTTTAAAGGGTCGAAGGACTTATTCACCGTTGAAGCTGGTGCATTTACCTTGCTCGGTAACTTTAGCCCTTCACTTACTGCTCATGCTCTTGGTGTGAGTTATTTCACCAAAGAATTTTGTTTAAATATAGAAGAAAATCAACTATTCAGCGTAGTTTTTTCTCCAGAAAGTAGTCAATCACTAGATACATATGCTTTTATAAATGGCATTGAGATCATCTCAGTGCCAGCCAAACTTTCATACTTTCATGGTGGAGATATTGGGCTTCAAGTAGTTGGACAAAAGTCTCTGGTTTATGTCGATGGAAACAATGCACTTGAAGTAGTACACCGTACGGAAATTAAACAAAATTATGTCCCGTTTGATGGAGATTTGGATAATATATTTCCAAAGTGGGCAACCCAAAAAGAAAACGAGAAAGAAAATAATTCCTGTAAAATATCGGTAGATGTGGGATTCAGGTACTTGATCAGGCTTCATTTTTCACAGCTGGGACTCAAAATTGCAGGGACTGGTGATGTGATGTTTAAAGTCTTCATCAATGAAATGATTGCTCATACTAATATTGACATTATAGAAGGAAGGGGTGAAAATAGTATTCCTCGTTATAGGGATTACATAGTGATGATAAGAGGGCACAAAACAGAGGTTAAAAGTAATCTCTTGATTTCCATGGAGTCATGTAATGATATTACAGATGGGCAAGAACTGCTTTCAGGATTTGAAATATTAAAATTGAGCAATCCTGACAATAGTCTTGCCAGCCCAAATGCTGTGCCTCTGGCTCGGGATTCAGCGTCCCGTACTATACAAACTTTGCTCTTGGCTCTTGGCCATAGAAACGCAATTGCAACTATTGCGGTAGCTGTAGTTTGTCTGGTAAATATAGTTGCTCACAAGTTTCGTGAAATTTGGGAAGGTAGCAATACTAAGGTGGAAAACAAGCCATCTGCAAGGGCTGAACGACTCTGTCGGCGCTTTTCTTTAACCAAGGTCCAACTAGCCACAAGAAATTTCAGTGATGGACTTTTAATTGGAAAGGGAGGATTTGGTAAAGTGTACAAAGGCCTCATTGATAATGGGCAAGTATTTGTTGCTGTGAAGAGGTTGAAACCAAATTCTCATCAAGGGGCACACGAGTTTTTGACCGAGATTGAAACACTTTCAGAGCTCCGACATGTGAATCTAGTCCCTCTAATTGGTTATTGCAACGATCGTGGAGAAATGATTCTTGTTTACGATTATATGGCTGGAGGAACGCTTTCTGATCAACTCTATAAACTTTCAAGGGAAAGTAGTAACTCTTCTGCTCTCACGTGGAAGCAGCGCTTGAACATTTGCATTGGAGCTGGTCGTGGACTAGACTATCTTCACACGGGCAATGGAGTCATACATCGAGATGTAAAAACTACAAACATCCTGCTAGATGAGAATCTTGTAGCTAAGGTTTCTGACTTTGGGTTGGCCAAAACTGAAGACAGGAGCAATTTACATAGCCATATTAGCACAAAAGTAAAAGGCACATATTGGTACATGGACCCACATTATCACAAGACATCCAAATTGACAAGGAAAAGCGACTCGTATTCTTTTGGAGTGGTGTTGTTGGAAGTATTATGTGGGAGACCAGTATTGGATTCAAGGGCAGAAGGGGAAGAGCGGATTCTGCCCATTTGGGCTCGATCTAAAATTAGTAAAGGGGAAGTTGATCAGATTGTGGCTTCAAGTCTCAGAGAGGAAATTTCAGTAGATAGTTTGAAGACATTTGTTGGGGTCGCTGAAAGATGCTTGCGCGATGAACCGAAGAATCGGCCAACAATGTCCCAAATTGTACAGCAACTTGAGCTAGCATTGGAGCGACATGAAAATAAACAACCTCTGGTGTTAAATGAAATAGCAAGTGCTTCTTGTAGTGCTGAAATCAACCAGTTAGGGCAGCCAACAATAACCTGCACCGATGTTCCGGAAATCACACCTCCTTTAGAAGAACAAAGGAACAGAAAAGTCGTTGGGCTTCCATCTGGAAAAAAACATGGAAGAAAAGCCACAGTAAGTAAGTCATTACGACTTGGGCCGTTGGACTCATTATGGAACAAATTTAAACCATCCAAGATTGAATCCTTATTATCAGGTATGGCCACAGTAAAGCCAAAATATTTCCTAGTTCATTGTTACTCTAGTTTATGTTGTTACTTTTCGATTAATGTTATTTCCTGATATGTATAATGTTTTTTTCTGAGAACAACATAAATTTGTGATGAATACTGTGCAACAGACATAAAAGTGACCGAGTTTGGTTGGGATTCAATTGTCGCTGCCACAAATAACTTCTCCTATTCAAATATAGTTGGACAAGGTGGATCGGGTACTGTTTATAAGGTCACTCTCTAAACACGAGAGATGGTAAAATGAACATTTCCCATCTTTCACCTAATTAATCTACTTGTATAGGCTGTATTCCCATCTACAGGACAATTAGTTGCAGTTAAAAGGTTTTCACCATCTTCCGGACAAGGCCTCGTGGAATTCAGGAACGAGATTCTCTTGCTTCCCAAACTTGAGCACCGAAACATCATCAAAATGCTTGGCTATTGCATTAATAGAAAAGAAAAGTTGCTTGTATACGAGTTCATGGCAAACACAAGTCTAGATTCTATATTGTATGGTTAGTGCTTCAGAAACTTCCATTTCTCCTAATTTATAATACTGACTAATGTTGCTCCTAAAACAAATTATGATATACTGACTACTGCTGTTTTTTCAGGTGTATATAAGGATGCGTTGAAGTTTTGTCGGCTTCAATGGTCAGTACGCTTTAAAATCATAACGGGGATTGCTCAAGGACTTGTTTATCTTCATCAAGACTCAGGACTGAGAGTCATCCATAGAGATCTTAAATTAAGCAATATTTTGCTCGACTTTGATATGAATCCTAAAATTTCCGGCTTTGCCATACCTACAACTTTGGCAGAACATCGATCTGAATTGGAAATTTCAGGAATTAGTGGGGCCAAGTAAGTGTCACAAAATCCATTCTTTGTTCAGTATCTCCCTCCGGTTTGTCTGTTTGCTAATTGGGAATGATTTTGTTTTATTTTGTGTGCAGTGGCTACATGTCACCAGATTATGGATTTTCAGTTAAATCGGATGTTTACGGATTCGGCATCATAGTACTGGAGACGGTGAGTGGCAAGAGAATAACGGGAACCACCTTCTTCGACTATGTAAGTGTAACGTACTCCGTAATTGAGTAATAGAAGGTAGAATCTACTATGTACGAGTTCGGATTAATTACACGTTCTATATCAATATAGTGTTGCGCTTATGCACCACTCAAAACGAAGGTAAAAGAGGTTTTTTTTTTTTTTCTAAAGGTAAACTTTACACATACACACACATGATTCGTTTTATGATTGGTCGGGACTTTTATTCAGGCATGGAAGTTGTGGTACGAAGGGGAAGCATTAGAGCTAGTAGACAAATCCGTTTGGGGGGTATTTTCGGCAGATGAAGCGTTGAGATGCATTCAAGTTGGTCTCTTATGCACGCATCAAGATCCAGATCACAGACCTATTATGGCATCAGTGCTCAAAATTTTGCAAGGAGAGGAGCTAGAAATGGAGGTGCAAGTGCCTCAAATTGATGATCTAGCAATCGGCTGTTTACGTACCGAAGACGGACTTGAGAACAACGCAACATTTGATAGTAATGCAGATCACTTGTTAGTACAAAATATGTTGTGACCATGTAGGAAGGTTTATCATGGTAAATATTTCATTTAGTTCACACAAGCATGTTTAATTTGTGCCATATTTTGGTACGTATTCACTAAGA